ACAAGAGGAAAAAACACTCTGGATCACGTTTACACCAAGATTCAGAATGCTTATAAGGCAGTACCCCTCCCCCACTGTGGTAACTCAGACCACATCACTCTGTTTCTCCTCCCTGCATACAGACAGCTGCAAAGGCGAGTGAAACCAGTGGTCAGAACGATGAAAGTGTGGCCCGAAGAAGCTGAATCAGTCCTGCAGGACTGTTTTGAATGCACTGACTGGAGTGTGTTTAAAGAGGCTGCCACACAGGGATCATACACCGACATACAGGAATATGCATCGTCAGTCACAAGCTACATCAGGAAATGTGCTGACGATGTTACACTCACAAAAGAAATAAGAACTCTTCCTAACCAGAAACCATGGATGAACAGTGAGGTTCGCATCCTAATCAAAGCAAGGGATGCAGCATTCAAATCTGGCAGTAAATCAGAACTAAGGTCAGCCAGGATCAATCTAAACAATGGTATTAAACATGCAAAAAACACTCAAACAGGAATTAGAGGAACACTTCACCACTAATGACCCAAGGTGTGGCAAGGTATACAGACCCTCACAGACTACAAGAGGAAGAACGTCTGTGCACCTGCCCATGATGCCTCCCTGACTAATGAGCTCAACACTTACTATGCTCGGTTTGAAGCCAGCAACACAGAACCAGTCAACAGAGCTGCTCTCACTGTCTGCAGATGAGGTGAGGAGATCTCTGCTAAAAGTGAACACACACGAGGCTGCAGGACCTGACGGCATACCCAGTCACGTCCTCAGAGCCTGCGCCAATCAACTGGCGGGTTTATTCACAGACATTTCAACATGTCTCTGGCCCAAGCCATAGTCCCCACCTGCTTCAAGACAACCACCATCATCCCAATACCACAGAAAACCACAGTGACATTTCTTAATGACTACCGACTTCTGGCACTAACACCTGTCATCATGAAGTGCTTTGAGAGACTGGTCATGAAGCACATTAAGGACACCATTCCAAACACACCGGACCCATACCAATTTGCCTACCGGCCCAACAGATCCACAGATGACGCAATCTCCATTGCCATACACACTGCCCTATCCCATCTAGATATAAAGAATACATACGCAAGACTACTATTCATCGACTTCAACTCAGCTTTTAACACCAGCATTCCAGAAAAAGTGGTCAAGAAACTCAGTGCACTGGGTCTCAACACCACCCTCTGCAACTGGATTCGGGAATTTCTGACAGGCAGACCTCAGGCTGTCAGGCTTGGAAACCACACCTCCGGCACACTAACTCTGAACACTGGGGTCTCCCAGGGGTGTGTGCTTAGTCTATTACTCTACTCCCTCTACACCCATGACTGTAAGGCCAAACACAACACCAATCCCCATCATCAAGTTTGCTGTTGACACCGCAGTTGTAGGTCTGATCACAGACAATGATGAGAGGGCCTACAGGGAGGAGGTCAATCTCCTTACAATGTGGTGTGAAGACAACAACCTCACCCTCAACGTCAGCAAAACCAAGGAGCTGATCGTTGATTTCAGGAAACTGCAAAACGGACATGCCCCTTTCCACATCAACAGGACTGAAGTGGAAAGGGTCAGTAACTTCAAGTTCCTTGGCATCCATATCACCGAGGACCTCACATGGTCTCTCAATGCCACCTGTCTGATCAAGAAAGCATAACAGCGCCTTTACTTCCTAAGAAGAAGGCTAAGATATGTCCCCACTAACTTTTACAGATGCACTACAGAAAGCACACTGACAGGCTGCATCACAGTGTGGTATGGCAACTGCAGTATTGCTGACCGCAAAGCCCTACAGCGGGTGGTGAAAACTGCCCAGTCCATCACTGGGGCTGCCCTCCAATCTATACAGGACATTTATGACAGACGGTGCTTGAGGAAAGCTCTAAGCATCATCAAAGACCCCACACACCCCAGCTACAGACTGTATGAACCTGTACCATCTGGAAAACGGTACTGGAGCCTTCGGGCCCGGACTACCCGACTCGGAGACAGTTTTTACCCCCGCACTGTTACCTTTTGTTGTTTTGCACACTGCCTGTTGTCTCTGTCTTTCTTTTATGATACAATTGTATTGTTGTTTCTTTGTACTACTTTTAGTCTGAGAGCTAGCTAAATAGCATTTTGTTATACCATATACCTGTATATGAGTATAGTGACAATAAACTTGAACTTGAACTTGAAAATCAGGAACTGACTGGCTTAGTCAATAAGCAAAATAAATATTCATAACCTCCAACCTGTAAGCGATTTCTCCAGAATATACCCAAGCGGTTGGTATAATTAGAGGCACATGAATTCTTTATTATCTGGCACAGCTTTATTGTAAAGACTAATAATACAGGCACGCTTGGTGAAACAAATGTTTATCAATAATGACAATACAAACACTACATTACACACAACAGAACATACAACACACAAGTTACTATATTCCCAGAAAGTACAAACAAGGTGTTCCAGAGGCCTTACAGTCTAATCACCCAAAAAAACCCGGACTACTACTAAGTATTGAACTCTTAAATAATGCCTACAGAGGCCACGATAAGAGATAAGCTGCCTTCTTAATAAATACAATACAACCTGCAGTTAAATCTCTCTCTCTGCAAATCCAGGAGCCAAAAAATAAATGGGAGCCTATCTCCCTATTCTAAAAATGCATCCTAAGCAGGAATGACATCTCTAGCTGTAGTACCTTTTAACCAGGAAACACAAGTTCTATAAAAACACAAAAGCTCTCTCTAGCGAGGTTCACATACATGTACTTACATGCTCCAGTAAGATGTTGTATGATCATGAAGGGGCTCTCGCCTGGTGCAACTCCTCTCTTGTGGTCTGATCTTCTTTCTCTCCTCTCTCTTCTTCTTTAATCTTGTCCTTTCTTTCTTCCCTTTTCCTTCTGTTTGTCTCTCCTCTCTGTGTGGTGTTAATGTGATGTTATATGGCGTGTTTCTGTACTGCTCAGTGACAATCATTAACACACGACTTAATTTCGTAGGTATGCCAAGGTAACCTTTACAATTGTTTTTTGATACATCTCAGCAAACATCCCCTCTGCTTTGAAGCTAGAAGTGTTTATTCTGCCATGTGTCACAAACTTTAAGAGACACTTCCTGATCACCTATAGCTGTAACAATATTTTTAGATGAGCTTGCCAGGATAGGCTCCGGATCCCCCATGACCCTCTATGGGATAAAGTATCCAGGAAATGGATGGATATCTTCAGACGTTCTTAAAAAACCCAGTTGCTTATCCGTTATGTGTAAGTCAGAGTGGCTGAATACACATCAGTTAAAATGGGTAAGGTGTGAAATTCACACATAGAAATGAGTTTGACTAAGACGAGTTTTCACTCTTCTTACGGCCTCTATAATTCCTTTTTAAAAATGTTTTCTGCTTTCAGATTTTTTAAGAATGATCAGACTTAAAAAAGTCTGAGATTCAGGCAACCCCATTCAACAGGCCAACAACTAGCTGAACAAAGACATAAAGTCCCTGTTCAATCAGGAGATGTTCTGCACATACCCGACTGCAAAGGAAACTAAAACACAGGATGGGAAGGTACTGTACCATGAAAGAGTATCATGTTCTACATCTTTTACACAGTTGACCTGAGCATTTACACGATGGTTCAGAATGTTTCTCGTCAAGCTCCCAGGGTTTTTCAGAACTAGCAGGGATGTAGAAACCCAGTAATTTCCTCCAAAGGCTTTTTTTTCTAGATGCCCCACATTTCCAGTCAGATGTGAATGTGCATAACTGTAACCAGCCCACATTGTACTTTGGGAGGAAGTGTGCGCATATGCAGCACTTCTCAACATCACAAAGCATTGAGGACAATAGAAACATGTCAGCTATTCCCTTCCCAGGCAAAAAACTACTGCGCTGCTTTCAACTCAACATGGTGGTAAGTCATGACCGTGGCACTGCATGCTTTCAATTGCAAAATCAGTGGCATTCACTTCCTTTACAAAGGAATATATACTTATATTATTTCAAAACAGTGACACAACATTGTGTAAAAATATAATTTGACACCTGAATAATCAGAAAAGTGCTATTTACTTTCTTTCTACTCTTTAGTATGATATACTACTGCTATGATTTACAGATTTTACTAGAGTGCTTTTTATCTATAGTAATATAAAAATATTTCAGTTCAGACTATTTGAAGTGGCGGGGCTGCACTCAAACCGAGGTGTGCAGGTGTCAGAGGTCTGAGACCAACATGGCCAAAACAGCAGTGTTGAAGTATGTGTGTTAACTCTGAATTCTTCCCCTTAACTCTCTGTGACAATAGGACTAAGAGAAAAACAACTGTTTGCTTGATTTAATAAAAACACAGGCATCTTTCACACAAATGGGTACAAGAGCAGAAGTGAACAAAATTCACAGTTCGGATGAGCCCTGTTACCTAAAGGCAAAAGAGAACACTTAGGAGTATCTTGGTTGAAGGAGGGCGGCGAGGAATACAGGGGGGATCCTGATAGTCACTTTGAGACCAGCCCTCTACAAATGTCGTCATACCTTTGCAATCAAAAATGTGTGAAAAGGGAACAAAGCTAAACACTGGCTAGGCTTGTGAAGACTTAAAAAGTGTATCAGATCTAACAGTATGAAGTAGCTGAAATAGGAAATGCTACAACATCCTGCACACAAATGAACAAGTCAACAAGTTTGGAAACAGTGCATCAGGCAAGTGATTGAGCTCAGGAAGCCTATTGAAGGCAATGCAATGCACACTTAGTGAGAAGTCAACAGACCCAGCCTGTGGACGAGATGACAACGGTTGCTGTACTTCACACAGCAGAAACAGCAGTTTATTCTGAAGAAATACGATGCAAATTTCTATTTAGAAAAACTGTAAATATTCCGTGTTACAAATTAAAAAGAGTAAAGCACATGGCGTACCCCAAACATCTCTTCCCAGGTGTGTTAGTCAGTTTATTAAGGCATCTACAGCTTCAGTGTAGTATATTTTTTTAACATCCCATCCATCATCCAAGGAAACAAAAAAAACATGCCGCTTTCATACAGTAAGGTGCTTAGTAGGATGTCACACGTCTAAACATCTTTAATATCTTTCTAATCCCACAGTGGTGGGACTTTCCAATAATCCTTATTTTCATTCGTCCCTGATCACGAAAGGGATGATGGAACACCCCCACATGCACACAGACATTTTAAGGCTTCATTTTCAACTGTCTGAAGCTGGTCAGTCTGGTCAGTCTTGTTGCATATCTGCACATTATCAGGGTGAGTTAAACACAGGCTGAACCGTCATTCTGTTCTGACCCACTTCCTGCTTCTGTGAACTTTGGGTGGCCAAAGCTGCCACTGGGATTAAAATTTGAGCCCTTCTCTTAAAAGGGAGCTCCAAGTGTCTAAAGCCCTTCACGTTGTCTATTATTACACACGGGGTACACAGATATTCTGAAAACAGACCAGAATTTGTGACGTTACTCCCAAAATACCATACACAATGTTTGGACACCATTCTCTCCATGAACTGTTGCGCTGAATATATAAAAACTATGCAATAAATGTTTGTCATCTGTCAGATCATAATGGCAATATTGTTTTTCTTCAACTCTTAACGGCGTTAAGTGAATGAGATGGAGAGTTGAAGTGCTGTGCGCTGTGCTCTGAGGGTGAGGCAGACACTGTTGTGAGCCAGCTGAACTCAGGCTTCACACATTAGTTTTCTTAAGCTTGAAAATTGAGCTCTGGGGTGGCACAGGATATCAATACAAAGAAATTAAGATTATATTTAAATGACTACAATACAATGCCTTTTAATCGACCACTTTACTTTTTACCAGAATAAAGTGTGAAATTATTTTAAAAAACTAATACAATGAGTTTTTAAGTATTTAAGTACAAAATAGCATATAAAGAGCTATGACTCTTTTGTAATGTAATGTATATAATATATACTCTTACATTCCAAACAGCATAAATCCAAAGTCCGATACACAAAATGCAAATAAAAACAAACATACATTCATGATTCCTCATAACTAATCTATTTTCTACATGAGAGTAGAAATAAACAAAAAAATACAAAACACTTCAGATATAAACTACTAAAAAGTATTTGACATCACTACATGATATTTTAATTCACTTTTAACACATCTAAATATGCTTAATAAATATATGCAAACATTCAAATCCAGACATTGAACCAAATGCATGCTAGTTGCACAAAGATTTATTTAAAGTAAAAATTGAAATAAAAACAGCAAAGATAAAGGCATAAGGAAATGCCCCACCAAAGCACTTAGCCGAAGAACAAAAAAGTTAGTTTTCTTTATAAAAAATCCAACAAACTGAAATAATAAAATGAGTCAAAATATAATTGAACTAGACATTTCATCATCATCCAAAAACCGGAATTGGCATTGTGGTAGCCTGGGGTCCAATCTGGAAGATCAGGGCGTATGACTGAAAGGCATCTTGGGCAGGATGTAAGTCCATCACAAAGAGCACGCAGGGATGTATATTTTGGCATGTATAGTCCCTAGACCTAAACTCCACTGAATGTGTGTGGGCTGTTGTGGAATGTCTTATCAGATGTGGTTCACTGCTACCCCTGTGTGATTCAGTGCTTTACCAACTGATGCTGGCTGCGTCCCATAGCACGTTCGAGGACATCTGTGAGACCACAGTTGGAAGCCACACTACAACATCCCGCAGTTACAAATGCAGCTGGGCTAACTGGACTGGACTATCCTAATTTCCATTTCTAGGAACTGAAAGGGAGCAGTTTTTAAAAACTGGACACTGTGCATCCTGAAAATCTGGTGTTATCAGGTGTTCCTCTAGGATCAGTCCTGAGGCCAGTAATATTTGTTACTTATACTCTGCCAATGGGTCATATTTTTCCTAAGTACAGAAGATCAGATTTCAATGCGGTGCCAGCTGCTTTACCAGGTAGATGCACAGAATACAGGCTTTTGCATTTTCTGAAACTGCTGCAACACCGTACATGCTTGTGTTTAAAAACAAAATTTCCTTGCCGCGTTGAATACATTCATAAAGTATCAACCTGAAATTAAACCAAAACCATATAACACCAATCTTAGCCCTTTTGCAGAGACAAGTGGTGGAGACCTGCACCAAATTGGGAATGCTGCCTCTGACATGTAAGACTCTGAATAGTTTCACATCAACTTGCATGTGAGACCATCTGTCACCAGGCATCCCTCCAAGTTACTTCAATCACACCCGTGCCTGTACCTCAGTTTGTTTTTACATTTGCACGTACTCATTTTTATTAGTTTCTTTTTTCTCTATTTTTATTTCATAGTCTAATAATAATAAATTAAAACCGTGGGGTGATATTTTTTAGTTGTCAGAGTGGGACATCTCACTGAACCTGTAGAACACGCCGATGGAGAGTAAATGGCACCAAGAAAACAGCAGACTGCAGAAGATAAAACCAATTTGCTATAAAACAATAGGATACAGAAGAAGGAAGCAATTAAATAAATAAAAACAGCACAGTATAAAACAGTTTTGGTCAAAAAACCCATTCATTTCATTATGAAAAGCAGACGTTAATTCTGTGATGAATAGTAGAAAAAGACAGAACATTTTGGCCTTCTTTAACGTGGGTTTGAAAATTAATTTAATTAGTTCATATACTGTATATTCAACCAGAATAAATGTAGGGTGATTTTGAAAATAAATATTTCTATTTTCATGTCTGAAGCACACATTTTTTCTCCTAGACATTTAAAACTTTTTTGCTTGAGAAAATGTCCAAAGTGCTCATTGTTAAAGCCGTCAGCGTCAATGTCATCAGCAGCCTCTTTGTCAGCTTCCTTCTGTATTCATCAGTTAAATCAATCTGAGAAAAAAGAGAGAAGAAATCAAACTAAAAGAAAATCATTTCTGTTTTACACTAAGACACTGAGCTTTCTGCAATCTGCAAGATGTCAAACCTCATGGTTGGATCAAAAGATTTCTTAACAATTCCTTTCTGGACAGTCCATGAAAAAGATCTTAATTCTTATCAGAACAAATGAATGTCTGGGATCCTTTTAGTCCAAATGCCACCGATTCACCCCTACAATTTTGCCAAAACATTTTCTTCTGTTCATCTGTTTCACATCTGTTTCTTTAAGAAAAAACTCAAACATGGAAGGGAAGTTTAAAGGATCAAACTAATAATGAGCTTCATCTACAGAAAATTTAATAGCTTTAATATTGTATTATTAAAAATTGATATTATATTACAAAATATTAAAATATGATAATACAGTACTGTCAGTATTAAAAATAATAATTGACACTAGTACTCTATGTATTAAATATACACATTACATATATGTATGTGGTCTTGCATATTTACTAATTCTTTAAAAAATTAAAAAATAAAGATAAAATAATTCAAACACTTTTATGTTTGTCTCTGTGTATTTTTTAAGTACTCAAGTACATAAATTATAGTATCACATTTTTTGTATGTAACTTCCCTGGGGCATGGAGACATGTACTGTTGCAGTTATAATAAATTAACAATATAAATAAAAAATTAGATTGGACTAAAAAGGTTATTTTTGTTTTTTCTAAAATAACAGTAACTTATGCAGAATTTCACCAGGTGTGAATCCAGTTTCATTAACGTGTTTCCCCAGTATATAGCTATATATAACTACTGGCCTATACAACAACAAAAAAAGCTTTAACCAAAGCAGAACTTCTCGGTTTCTGTCTTTACAGTTCCATTTTGCTTTAAATAGTGTGCTGATTGGTCCACTGGCCAATGAGAAGGTGTTATTCCTCACTCAGTCACATAGGAGAACTCTGGGCACGTCATGGAAAGTGAACGCACTACACTGTGCGGTAATTGAAACGGACTGACAATGGTCTTGCACACTTTTCTGTTCCATGCAGGGTGAGATTAAATGTAGGCTCACTGTGGAATTTAGCTTGGTCATATTGGTGGTATTCTGGCATCCCTTGATTTAAAATCTATGCCTTTAAATTAATCTCCTAGCATTTGTTATTCATTTAAATGGCTCCCAAATTGTCTAGAAGATGTAAATGATGTGTCAATATAAACACATTTTTTGCAACCCACAAAAAACCTGCAGCTCTTTACATATGGCATCAGTGATTTATTTGGTTGACACTTTCATCCTACATGACTTCCGTTTGTACCCATTGATACAGCTGGACATTTGCCTGAATCAACCTGAGTGAAGCAACTGGCTTCACGCACATACCAGCAGAGCATCTAACCTTCACCTAGGAGTTCATCCGGACCACCACTCCACACTGCTGCAAACACCAGGTCGCATGAATAAACCTAGTTACTATGAGAAGTCCTTTGTTCGTTATTTTGCTGAATATCTTTAAAAATCAAACCAGGAAACTTTCACTCCAGGACCTTCAGGACATCAGAGTTCAGAGTAATTTATGTGCGAAGGCCCTCAGAGCTAAGCTGCCACAAGCAAGCATCTTCTGCATTAGGGTGGCAGTGGTGGGATAGCATCCCCTGGTGGTTATCCATAGTAACTCTTACTCATCGACAAATGAAATATCCTTACGCTTATATAGTGCGTTTCTGGACACTTTACAGGTCCTGGAGACACTACCATTGCCAATGTGCAGCCCCATCTGGATAACGCTATGGCAGCCATAGTGCACCACTACACTCTCCAAACACTACCTATCAGTGAGGAGGAGGACAGAGTGATGAAGCCAGTTCACAGAGTGGGTTTATTAGGGTCCATCAGGAGACTGGGGAGGAAATTTGGCCAGGATACCAGGATTAACACCCGTACTCGTTTCAAGAAATGCCCTGAGATTTTTCATGAGAGTCAGGAACTTGGTTTTACATCTCTTTCAAAGGACAGCACCCTTTTTACAGCATAATTTCCCCATTTCACAGACTGCAGGGTGAGGTCTCATATCCAGGTACTGGCCAGGCTCACATCTGCTTAGCTTCAGTGGGTTGCGAGTTGTGAGTTGCGAGTTGCGAGTTGCAGGGTGATATAAAGGTAGCTGCTGGGTATATCCATATGCATCTAAGCCTAATACATATAGCCTGTGTTACTGTCAGCTCTTTTCTAAGCATCCCATCATTCTCCCTTTATATTGCTGTACTGTATATTTAGCATTTTACCTCTAGACTCCAAATGAGTGCTGCCTATTCTGCTTCCAATGGAATTTTTAAGGTTAAAGTTCCTGTTAAATCTTTTCCATATACAACACGTAAATGTAAAACTCTCTACAAGCAAGCAGATTGCTAATACATGTAATCCAGATCTGACATGCTAACAACATATTTGCAGTAGGTGAACTTTGTGATAAATGCAGAAGTTGAATGATAAGGAGAACATCCAATATGACTTTCCCAAGAGGTGCTGTCATGATCCTAGGAAAACTGAGATAGAGCCAACTTTTCATCACAAATTCTGAGTCAAAACCAAAATCAAACATATTTTATTTACTGTTTAATGTAAAGACAGCTTCTCAAAAAAACATATTTAATCCTTCTCAGTATAAAACAGTAAATCTGTTGTAAACAACCTGTCTTTCCCAACACAAAAAATGTGTTCAGTGAAGGGGAGATCAAGTCTACATGAGTATGACCCAGCAATTAAAACATAACAATGTTGAGTCAAAAAAATTGCTTTGTGGTTTGAGGGAGAGTATTGTTTTAAAACACTGCTTTTGAACATTTTGTACTCTTTCATATCCTCGTTTGTCAGATGTTTCAGGACAATGCTTGCAGAATGAGGGACGTTACAATATGACAATATGACATTGTGAAATTAATGTCGATTTCCTGTTCTCTCATCTGTAATATATTTAGACACTCTCTATGTACAGTAAAAAGCGCAGGTATTGAAGTATACTTAGTGAATTGAAATTGGTAATTTTTGCTGTGTACAGTACTAATGAAATATGAAGTATAGAATTTCAGCTTTTGTTTCTGGGTTTCATTTTGCATACATGTTTAGCCATGATAGAACAATGCCATCTGCTGTATTCAATCCCCCCATTTCAGAAGAGCAAAAGTAATGGCTGTCAGGTGTCTGTAATTGCTCAGGTTTCATTAATGCATTAATGCATTAATAACGAAAACCTAAAAGGGCCAAGAGAATGTATTGCCTTAGTTCCGGCTTTTGGAGTGTACATTATGGATCTTGGGTTAGAAGGCATGAACCCAGATGAAGACGAGAGAGCTGCCTGGGATGGAAAACCAAGCAATTGTGAAGATGAGGATGAAGAAAATTTCAAACAGAACCACTGCAGGGAGGACAGGCATAGCAAAAATCAACATTTCAAAACGTCTTGAAAAAGAAAAAAAACTACCGGAGGAGAATCAGGATTAGGCCTTCCAATGAAGACATCTGCAGCTGAAGATTTTCAATAAAAAGTAGAAACCCCTTAAAATAACAACCAAAAGAGATTCACTTTGAGCTGCATTGCAAGATGCCTCTTAACCTTAATCAAAGTAATATGGTCCACTTTTAACAAAAACAAGAGAAAGGGTACCTTAGCAAATTAGTAGCACCTAATGCGGAAGTCAAGCAAGACGTTTCTAAAATGTCCATCTGAGCTCAAGAACCACTTGAGAGCACCAGAAAAATCTTCAGATGCTTGCAGGAGATCTAATCATTTTCTCAAAACGATAAGATGTTCTCAAGCAAAACTCAACAACACTTCAAAAAAAATCTAGAGGTAAATTCCAAGATTATTGGATATCCAAGATGGTTTGTTGGATGCGCCCCACAAACAGACATACCTGGAGTACTCTCTGAAAGACCAGCCTTGGCAACAACTTCAGCTACGGTCAGAAAATTCAACATTACCCCCACCAAATAAGTATCAATATATTTGGAAGGAGAGAGGAGAATCTAAAAAGAAATTCTTAATTTTAGCATCAAAGACAGGAATATTTGATGGCCTGAACTTGTTTTTGCATTGGAGAGGATCCAATGATTACAGCAAAATCTGAAAAAAATGACTCTTTCGTGTGTTACCCAGTGATATAGTGGAAGGATGTTTGCAACTGCAACAGGATGTCTTTCGGATGCATAATTGGAATTGGAAATCACACTGCGGTCACTGTTTTCACCATGGTCACTGTGGGCTATGCTGGGGAGCTGTGGTGAGGGCTCTGGACTGCCGAGCGGAGGGCTGAATGACATGGTTAATAAAGGATCATAAAATAGTACATTTACAGTTGCCTGATTTTTTCATTTATATTGAATTGTAATTTTTAAAGTATCAGAGTAGGGTCAAGCATAAATCGTTTCTGTCAAAAAATTAAAGATAAAATAAAAGGGATCTAAAAGTATGCAGACACAAGCTCAGACAGCACTCTGGTTGGAAGATGTTTTCCTTTTTTCCTTGGAAAAAAAGGATCCTGCAGACAATTTCATACTTGAGTGGGTGCCAGGCTCTCAGAAAGGCAGAGCTGCTTTTCACCTGACATGAGTTATACAGCCATGTGTACAGGAGTGGTGATGCTGATCTACTGAAGAAATCAGACATGTGAACCAAATATTCTGTCGGTTTGTCTAGGATACGAGGTCTATGGTCTTTTCTATTAAAAATTTTGGATGTATGTTTTGGTATACATACCAGTATTAATGGATATTTTGAGGGAGGTTTTTATTGTATTGGCAATCTACACAATATGGACTGAGAACTTTCAGAACACTCTGGACAGATATCAAGATTCCAAAACCGTCCAAAAACAATCTTTCTACTTTACTAATCTCATAGGACAATAGAAAGTAAATCAGCATATACAACCATCAGTCTGTGCCTTTAGCCCCCACAGTAAACTTGCCTTAACCAAATATGGGGAAATGGAGACAGCTTTTT